CCCCAAAACCCCAAAACCCCAAAACCCCAAAACCCCAATATTCTTAAAATAAGGTCAATAATGATTATAATAAAATAAATCAATATGTATATCTCTGCTAAGACCTCTAAGCAATTCATCAAGAAAAGTCTCAATAATAAGATTTTGCCGGCTATTGCGATTGCTAGACAATCATCTTATTTCCAGTCAGGCTTAGTTGCTCTATAGCACATGAATATGTTCACTTTGAACAAATAAAACCAGTAATTCAACTAACTTTTGAGAGAGTAAATAAGATCCTTTGCCAGCTAAGATCTACCTAATCATATTAAGCTTGAAATGCCAAATTTATCTCCAACAATGGAAAAGGTATCAAAGCTTTTAATTTTATATTATAGGGAAATATTGCTAAATGGATGAAGAAAGAAGGAGATTAAATCAAGCCCGGTGATATTCTAGCTTCAATTGAGACTGATAAAGCTACCGTTGACTTTGAAATGTAAGAAGATGGTTATATTGCAAAGCTTTTATATCCTGAAGGGGCCAAAGATGTGAAATTAGGATAAGTTGTTGCTATCATTGTTGAGAATAAAGATGATGTTTCAAAATTTAGTTCATACTCTGGGGAAGCAAAGCCATTACCAACTTAACCAAAAGTTGAGGCTCCTGCAGAGACTCAATAAGATAAGAGAGCTTGCCCTGTTACAAGAGAAAGACCATCATCTGATCCTAATTAAGCACTCTCTGGAGCTCCTAGAGTAAAGGCATCTCCAATAGCATAAAATTTAGCATCATAAACTGGAGTTAATATTAAAGATATTAAGGGCAGCGGACCTAATGATAGAATTATAAAGGCTGATGTTATTGATGCTAAAAAATAAACCTAAAAACAAGTAGTTGCAAATGAATATATTGATAATTCCAATAATGAGGAGAGAAGATAAATCCTCACTTATAGTAAATAAAATATCCCTCATTACTATGTTACCATCTAAGTTCAACTTGATAACTTAATGAAGCTTAGAACTTAACTTAATAAATTTGCAAAGAATAAGCTTACATTGAGTCATCTTGTATATAAGGCTTCAGTTTTAGCTGCTTTGAAAGTTCCAGCTACTAATTCCCAATGGTAAGGTGACTTTATTAGATACTATAAGAATGTCAACCTTGGAGTTGCTGTTTAAACAGACGATGGCTACCAAATCCCAGTTGTTAGAGATGCTAACAAGAAAGGACTTGATTAAATTGCTGCTGAGTTAGTAGACCTTACAAAAAGAGCGAAGGAGGGTAAACTTACTCAAGAAGATGTCCAAGGTGCTACATTCACAGTTAGCAATCTTGGCATGTTTGGAGTTGAAAACTTTTAAACAATAGTTCTTCCCCCATAAGCATGCATATTAGCAGTTGGTGCTGCTTAGAAAAAGGTCTTAGTTTCAGAGAACAAAGATATTAAATACGAGTAAGCTTTAACTTCACTTTTATATATTAATAATAGAGTTGGGCATGTTTTGAACGTAACTCTAAGTTCAGATCATAGAGTTGTTGATGGAGCTCTTGCTGCATAGTTTGGTCAGGAATTCAAGAAATATATCGAAAATCCAGAAACTTTGCTTCTATGAACATTTATTTAAGCTTTAATGTTTTGCTCAAATTTAGATTAAAGGTCATTCTAAATTGCTTTTATTTGTAAATCAATTTGCAATTATGGGGTTTTGGGGTTTTGGGGTTTTGGGGATATTTCTT